CTAGGAAAAATAAGAGAGCAGTAAAATGCCACGATCGAGTACTCAGCGAGGTTTATAATGCGAATAAGCCTGTTTTTGACTTCTAATTTGTTGCGCAATGCATCGTAGCAAGTGAAGGCCCTATCCCGTGTCTCTTGCGAGTTGAAACATTGGATAGGGTCTTCACTGACTATGATGCGCTGCGCAGCAAATTAGTCAAAATTAAGACCCCTCCCCTTTCTCGTCCTCCCAACATATCCACCCTCTGTAGGAGATGGGAGCACTCGGAAGCAGTGCGTTTGGTTGCAAATACCAGCAGCAACCATACGCTGGCAGGGATGTCAATGGTTATTTCTTTCGAGGTTTATTTACAAGCAAACCGATGACTTGACTCCCTGGTATACGCCAATGCCCATTTGCCATCGAAAACGAATGAATAAGTCATAGAGGAGCTGAATATTTTACAGGTGATGTCGAAATTTCAGCCTGCTGCGCAACAGTGCAACTTTCCAGTGCACGGCGCCCTCTAGAAGGAATCAAACTGTCGAGAAACCCGAGATTTTTTGCTAGCTTTGTTCGTCTTTGGATTAAACTAGCAAAAATTTTCAGCTGTGTTAAGGTATAAAGACACATAAGTTGATTTCAGGTCTTTGGCTTCGCATGAAACTGGAAAATTTTTTACCTAAATTCGAACCATATGCAGTTTTGGCTCCTAGTTACAAAATCTGCTCATTTTGAATCCGAGGTCAAAGTGAAAGCATAAAGCAGTTGGAGGTTTAGTTTTTTTGTTCTTCCTATATAAGGGGCTTTTATTCCAAAGCTTTGAACTTGCAAATTCAATAATTTAATAGGTTTTTAAAATTTGAACCTGGAGTCGAAGGCAGGGAAGTTTGTTCTGAAAAACCTCATTAGTTTTAAATTTATGAAACTTGTCGGAATACTGGCCTAAGGCGGAAGGTTGTTGTAAAGCGGTTTAAAAGTTGCTTTGAGCTTTTTTTCTTCATCAGGCACCTTAATTCTAAGAATCCGAAATGGCATTTCTGGAAATTGCTTGAATTTCAGCTAAAAATCAGAGGCAAGACGCAGATTGGTCTGGACGATAATTGAGATTTTTCGCCTCGTACACGATCAGGGATGTTGGTTTCAAAATTCCATTTTTGCTACTTTTGCAACTCTTGAGTTTTTATTGAATTTTGACCTCGCGCTTTTGACAAGCATGTTTTTTATAAATACAAGCGCATAACTTTTTCGATTTTGTGTTTGTACGACCTGTGAGTTCAGGACAGACTGATTTCGGGTTTTTCGTCATGTTCATCACCGGAGATTTTATTCTCAAAATTTCAGTTTTCTCTAGCTTTTCAGTTATTGGAGCTGAAATGTGTGATAAGCAGAACAGACAAACAGACAGATACGATTTCACTTTAGTGCGGTTTTGCGTTGCATCAGTAACACCAAACACTCTAAATAGCACGTGTGGTCGAATCGCAACTTGAGTTCGGTCTTTATTTTCAGCAACTGTACGTACATTTGCCTTTGCTCACAAAAAGATGTGTAACAGTAGACCAAGCAGCTACATTTTGCAAAGGTGCCAACTAGCTGAGAGGGAAAGAAGCATTTTTTTTTCGCTAAATTAAAAACTTTTCCTCTTTTCCATGGTAGAATTTTATAACCTGGCCTGGTTCAATGATTCTGGACTGCTCGCAAACTGGATAAGCAATTTTGGGATAGTGGCGCATTGAAGATGTTCAGAATCGTATCTGGCGAGGTTTTGCATGCCCACAAATGCAAAATGTTTATCCAAGTCACAAAGAGTCATGGAAGCACCGCCTTCAAATTTTTAATGAGCAAACTTCCGAGTGCTAAGCAGAGGAGGGGCAAAATGCCATGGGAAGGAGCACTTTTGGCAAAGAGCTTGGTGTGTTTGTGTGTCCGGTTAAAAGCGTTCTCCAGAAAATTCGTAGATTGGTTTAATCCAAACCCGGGTGCACATACGTACAGCTGCTGTGAGCAGCATTTTTCTATTTTTCTCAAAAATTCCAATTTGAGAATTCAGTAATCAACTTACAGCTGTCCCTACGCTGCTCTACTGCTATTATTTTTTACGTTAACTGGTCGTCTGTGTGCGCGTTACGCTCTGGGCGCTTCGGTTACAAAGCCAAATATTCATTCATTTTAACTACTCCTTTCTCATCGCTGGCAGAGTTTGTTTCAATCCGGATATCTGACAATGAGCAGCAAATACGCCGTTAAACAAAATTGCTGTATAAAATCCCTCACCAGTGTCTTCTATCATTTCTTGATTTAACTCACTATATATTGTCAATGCCGGCTTGTTTATTGCTAAAATAAGGTCTACTCCTCACTTCACTCGTTGACAATGCTCCGGGCTCGAGTGGTTCCACCTTCACTAGAATGAGAATGCCGATCGCTCTCTCTTTTCAGCGCGGGAAGCAAAAAAAATTCAAGCGTTGTAAAAGTCAGCAGTGATTTGGTTTGTCTAAAAAGCGTTTTTGAAAAACCTTGACAGGAGAGAGCAACAGCAAATTCAGCAATTATTTGAAGAGTTCATCACTGGGAAATAATTTGAAATCCTTTAGTTAAAGTACTGATAAGAAAATATGTGATGGTACAGTAGAAACAAAACACATAGATAGAGGGCACGCATAAATTTTATTGAAATTAAAATCAGGAACACATCACGTGCTTATGGAATAAAAGGGGGAGGGTATTCAGAGGATGAATAACTGCTGCTGCTAGTTCTGCATAGCCATGGCAGTGCATGCCAACAAAAATTTATCAGGGAAACAAATCAAGGAACTGAGAGGTGCGGAGAAAGGAGAAACGAGAACGGGGAAACACGAATGATTTTGTGAACGGCACAAACCGAACAGTGGGGACTTCCAATAGATGGATCACGAAAATCAGTGCCAGAAACTTCGGATGAACTGTACGAAATGAAGTGTGATCTGCATAACAGTTTCAAAGTTTCACTAAGTCTTCCGCGCAAAAAAAAAAAAAAAAAACGAAAATGTATTTTCAGCTGCGATGAGAGCGCGTACGTGTGTGTGTGTGTTTGTGCAGGTCCGTATCTATTGTCGTGTGCGTGTGTATATTTGCATGTTTGCATCTGCAGTGATAATTAAAGTTGGGAACAACGAAAGCCATTGAGCAAAATTTTTGAAAGGCTAACTTTTTTCCTGTAGCCACTGCTCTGAGTTACGACTGTTAATCCCAAACTCAAAATCGTGATGTTATCACAGTTCCGCAACAAAAGGAAGCCATGAACTTGAAGTTCTAATTTAGTTAACTGCCGATTAAAGGTAGTTGACTTGAAACTAACTTCGAAACTTCGCTGTACGCTGTTAGCAACCTAGAATGAATATATAACTTTAGATTAATGACTGCATATCGCAATGGAACAGTTATAATTAGTTCATTTTTCTTGTTCATAATTTACCGTTAACAATTCAGGGTGGATACTCTGCAAATCATCTTTCAAACGTTCATGTATTCTGACCTTTAGATCCGCTTAAAAATCAGATAACTTCAGAGCGCGCCTGGACGAAAATGTGAAATGGATTGGCGATGGCATCATTATGGCCATTACATAAAATTTGGTGCGCTAATTTACCCGGTATCATAGAAGCTATGCAAGCCTCCTTGCTTCTACGATGCTCAACCTGCTTATAAGCATCCCCAGCAATTACGGATTTGGGTCCCTCCACGCTGCAATTTTCCACCGTTAATGAAATACGCTCTCGCAAATTTTGACTGAGGCACATCGTTATGGCATGAAGGAGTCGACCGAATGAGCGATATCAAGGGAATGTGAACTGTGGCATCACCAAGCTCGCCAAGTATTATCAGAAAAAACTTCACTCTTTGGTGTCGATTTCTACATTATACGGCGAAGGATCAATAAACCGTAATTTGAAAGGATGGTAAAACGATTTTGCACTGTAAAGAAGAAATGCCGGTAGAATCGAATTTGTCTTTAACAGCAATTGATTCTAGCAAATACATCGAAACGACAAATTCTTTTTCGAACTTTCAAACTAGTTTCAGTTAGAACTATCAAAATCATCCGAATCGATCCTGAAATTGAAAAATTTTATGTTGAGCACGAACCCGATTTAACCTCCAGTTCGCACGCGAGCATGAAGGTGTTCGGCACAAAATTTAGAAAAGGGAAAGAAGTGGAGAGAGGTGTAGCACTGGCAAGAGGGACGACAAAGGCTACAGCGACGCCAAAAGCAAGTGAACTGTATTTTGGTAATATCTACTTTCGGAAAGATGCGAGACAGGAACGGCTCGCGCAAAACGCAAAAAAAAAAGAATTCAATTGTATTTTAGTTGACGTCTGGCTCATTCCAGAGAATATTTCTGTAACACTGCTCTTAAGTGAGCCACTGCCGCATGCAGCAGGCAAGAATGCATATGATTCAAGCTCACGAAAGAGATGAGACATAACGTCGTAATAGGCCCGAAAAATCACCGGAGAGGAGGTGAAGCGACAGCTCAGGTCTATCGCAGGTGCCTTCGGACCTTCTCCGGAGAACTGCCGTAAGTACATTGAGCAGGCACGGGATACTAATTGGACGTATGCAAATACGATCGGATGACTTGGCCCAGCGGACGTGTGGCAGCACCAAAATTACTACTTCGTCGATTCTTCATTCCAGAGAACAGTAGAATTTTTTTCGCGAAGTACTGTTGGCGGGGATTAGACCAATGAGCCAAAGTCTATGCTCCCTCTTCCGAATGGAGAATTCCGTATATTTCCTTGTATTAGGAGTCCTTCCGCTGAGACCCACTTTCTGCACATTACCCCATCAACCAATGCAAAATTTTGTGCTGCGGCCATCTTGAGCGCTTTCAATAACTGGCTGCAGAAATATGTGATAACACCAGCCCTTTAGCGTGCCAGTGTAATTGCTAACAGATTTTTTAGGTTCGGTATAAACAGTTTGCATTTGGAATTTCCTGGAATTTTATAATCGCTGATATACAAAAATAGTGACATGAATGATTCTGATGGTAGCAAGGAGTTATTGCAGCAAATCAAAATAGACACAATTTTTTGGAATTCTGGGCGACTGATCACTGTCCTGCTTATTTTGATTCCAGTGGCGACAATCTTCGGCAATACATTAGTTATCGTTGCTGTAATGCGTGAACGATCACTGCATAGTGTTACCAATCATCTAATTGTTTCACTGGCTTTCGCCGATTTTCTGGTGAGGCATTGACAATAATGAAAATGGTTTGTTACATTGCAAAACGTTTCATGCAGAAAATGTAGTTTTTGCACTGAAACGCTGCTGCCTGCCATCCATTCATTTCTCCCATTCATTTTAGCTTTGCATTATACGCCCCTTGGGCTTTTTCAAAAAAGTAATAGAAAAATACTAATGATTATAAGAGCAAGAGTAATTACTTGATGACACTGGCTGTTGTTAAAACAAGTAGTGATACTGCAGAGCAATGATACTAGTAAAGCGGTAGCAGAATATGGCAAACTAACAGACGCATCCCATGTAAAAGTCAAATTACCTGGACACTTGAAGCGCAAACTGTTTAGAAGTCGCAACACTAAATGGACGAAAACAGAATGATCTAAAAGCTGATATAAAGCCCATTTTTTATGCGTTTTTGCTGTGCAGCGTTATAGCGCTGCTAAATGAGCACAAACGCATATTGTCGAGAGGTCGTCTGTGTGTGTATATTCGGAAGCGAGCGAACTTTGTCATTTGCTTTTAACTCAACAACCAGGAAAGCTAGAAGACTGAAATTTTGAAAGCACATCCACCCTCTCCATGCGTCATCCTCATATTTTAAAATCACCGCTCATACGCACCTAGACTCCCGAAAAAAATACAAATTTCTTTGGTGGGAAGCGATTTCGGAAATCAGACAAAATAAAAAACTGAAACTTTGCAAGGATATTCTTTGTGCATGTATGAGCTAATGATTTCAAATTCATCTATCGTGCACGCCTGCGACACTTGTACGGTTACGTTAAATTTCGCAGTTAATACTGTACCAAATCGAAAACTAGCCATAAAACATTAGCTGGAATTTTGTCAAAATATTTATCATCTGTGTGGAAATTGTGTAGCCAAATCGGATTTCGATTTGCACTTGCGTCACGAATTAAAGCACTTTAAAAATACGTGTAGTACGGCGGAAAACCGGCAAAAAGCCAACCAAGAAGAAAAAGAGGAGGTTTATCGAATCTTGAAAGATAGATAAAGAGTAGACGTGCTGCCAGGCCTAACCAGTGGTGTAGTGGTAACACACTGCTCCCCGGTTGAAGAAAAGTGGTACGATTCCCTCCCGGTCCAAAAAAATTTTCGAGAAAGGGCTCTGTTCATGACAAGTAGTGAAGTGGCTATTTCGCTCAACGCAAGACTGCCGGGCTGAAACTTTGCGTGTGACCTAAATGCAGCTTAGAAACTAAGTTCCCTTCATGCGAGCATGAGAAATACTCAATTTTACGGAAAAATTAAAAGCGAACACATTTTGCGGACTTCGTAGTCCTTTTATAATGCTTCTTAAACTTGCATTTTTTTCGATGATTGACCACTTACCGGAAAAACGACTGGGCTTCGTGTAAAATTGATAATCGTGCAAACTAGAGGTTCACGCGGCCCATAATGCAACACTTTCGTCCCTGCCGATGTCCTTCGCGCTGCATGCAGGAAAAGGGCAAAATATTGCGAATATGAGCCCACCTTTCAAACCACAGCACAGAAACCATTTCTTCTGTCAACGATCTGCAAGTTTAGCGCAAAAAAGCATGATAGTATCGACAAACCTGGTGTTTTGCAGCCTGAGTTTTAGCTTGCATGCACATCTTCTTTGGTACAGTTGCAGCACACTGCCCTGAATCTACTGCTAAGCACATTACCTCTTAGCTAATTTGTAAAGCAAACAGCATCTTAACTAGTGTCTTGAACCGCTGGAGCTTTCAGTGGCGAGACTTATAATTTTTTCTCTTTCAGATCGCATTATTTGTTATGTCATTTGCTGTGTATTTTAAGGTGCGTTTTTTGCAGTGTGCCCACTTTTCAGTTCCAAAAGATTATCAAAACTGTAAAAACACGTAGACTAAAGGACATAAAGTTGTTCAGGCGGAACTTTACAACAGTCAAATTTCATTCTGAACTTCTCAACCACAGGAAACTTGGCCGCCTTCTGATTATTCATCATACAACTGTTGAAGCTAATAGTAGGCTTGTGTTGCACAATTTCATGATACAAAATATGCTCTGCATCTGTCGAAAAATTTCTTTTTCATTCACTGGGAACTGTTGCTTTGTAGAACGGTTGTGCCTGACTAATGTTCAAAATATTATCACTTTCACAACAAAATAAAGCTGGATTTCAAAAAAGCGTTGATAATACAGGTTAAAATTGAAAGGCGGGAAAACATATTTGATCCGCTTCATTCAATAAATGAGCCATTCTAAGATTCATTTAGAGCAAAACAAAAGTAGAGCAAAAGCAGAGCAGTGAAAACTGTATCTTGGGAAACGGGGTACCACATGGGGTGAAAAATAATTGAGTTGGGTGGTCAAATTTTCTTCTAAAATCCTCTTTGCCACCATTCGTTATAATTGTGTATTCGGGTGAATACTCTGAATACTTCTTAAAAATAAATCTTGATAAGAACTTTCCCTTCCGAACTCCTTCCTTCCCAAACAATAGTAATATGTAGTAAAGTATGTGGCAAAATATTTCCAATTTTTTTGGAAATGAAGGTTTAACAAATATGAAAAACAAGTGGTTCCTGCCCTCTTTCTAAAACTACTGAAGTTGAGCAAAGGGGGCTACGGTCACAGCAAAAAACAATTGTCCAAGATTTGTGCTCCTTGATATAAAAAATGAAACTTTTCAATGGTAAGATGGCAGTAAACCAAATGGGAAAAAAACTCCTTATTTGAACATTTACTGAACAGTTTTTTATTGCTGAAATTTCCAGATTAATTCATATGTCTGGGGCCTTGGCGCATTTATGTGCAATCTTTATATGGCCACCGATGTGGCACTTTCCACTGCTTCCATACTTAATCTTCTCGCTATTTCTGTAGACAGGTTAGTGCAAACTGCTTCTGTCTTATTTATACGTCACTGTCCTAAGCCAATAGCACAGAAAATCGAAATTTGATATCGTTTTGAAGCATAATCTTCCACTACTGTTTTAATTTCACTTGGCACTGGAATATGCCCACTGAGAGTTGTCATAGTATTACCACTATCTGAACAGTTTTTGAGTGTTCGCGATTTGCTTGACCCAAAACAATTTGCTTCAAATCGACTTCTGAAAAATCCCTTACCTGAGGAAGTTGAAAAAGTTGGTATATTGCTTAATAGCTTTTCCGTTTTCTTTAGATGAACAAAAGCCTAAGCAATGATTTGACCCTTTTGCTTTTTGGTCAACAACAGGAATTGTCAGCCAGGTTCATTAATGCTTTTTCGATTTCGGTAGTTACTAGGGTATCGAGGAAGTTGCGAACAACTGACAGTTGTTGAAAGGGTGTGATGCACGAGATGCAGCAGCTAGACAGTGTAAAGTACGTCTGCGGATGCCATACGGTTAGGTGCTCTAGCAAGTGGATGGAGCGGTGGTGCAGTGGTCTGGCACGTCGCGTTCAGATGTGAAGACAAGTGGTTCGATTCCCTCGAGGTCCATAACCCTCTTTAAAAAGAGTTATGGAGATAGAGATATAGATACGCCTTGTTTGTAGGAGTTTCTATCAAGTTTGACATGACAAGTTCGGAGTGTTAGCTAAACATAATATTAAGAAGATGTTTTACAAGTGATGGAAAAAAAGCGTGTACGAATAGCCTATAATAGCAACGCCCTGGGCCACTTAGTTACGAGTGCCCTAGCCTTGATTAAGCAATCACTGAGTGTAGTAAATTCAAGCTTTTGGCATGGATCAGAAGTGTTATGCTATTGCAGGTATATGGCGATAGCGCAGCCGTTATTGTATGCGCAAAGCGACACAAGATGGAGAAGAACAAAAATTATGATTTTCATTGTCTGGGTAGTCTCAGCCACTGTCGGTTTACCAATCCTGTTGGGTGTGAATGCTCATCCAGACGATGTAATTTTGTCCAGTAATTGTTTCATTTCCAGTGCTGTCAGAAAAGATTGATTATAGCTGATATTTTTGAAAATAGTCAAAAGGAAGGGAACAACATTATGTTAGGCAGGATATTCTCCGCAAAGTGTGCATGCTAACTTTTTGGCCTTCACTTCATAAAAATAGTTGATTTTAACATTCATTGACTTTGTTAGTACTTAGTGAAAATTATTGCCAATGTGATTTTCAAAGTTTTTACCATCCTCCCTGCTCTTTCAGCTTTCAAATGTTCTATCATTGTTCTGAAACCATTTTTATCATGCGTTTTGCATATATACAAATTGCAAAAATGCATACTGGGAAGAGGCTGTGTGTGTGTGTGTGTTCGCACTTTTAGTCACCCACTTTCAACTCGAGAACCAGAAATGCTAGAGGGCTGAAACTTTGGGAGTATGTGCCCATATTATACGTGACCTTCCCATCTTAATATCATCCCCCACGGAAGCTTGGGTGCCGCGTAGAGACGCTTTAAAAAATATGCAGATTTTTTGGTGAGGAAGCAATCTCTGGAACAAGACAAGGTAAGAGGCAAAAACTTTGTATGGATATTCCCTGTGCACGTGATAGCTAAAGATTTCAATTTCAGTCCCCAGGTATGCGAGGAACTCACGTAAGGGCGTATGAAAGTTTCTGCGGGGAAAATACTAATTCGGGAATCAGAAAAGTCAGAAAGCTGAAATTTTAGGGGAATGTTCCCTGTCCAAGTACAACTTAAACATTCAAATTCAACCTTGACGTATGCATAGTCCTTACATACGGTCACTTAAAGTTTTGGCGGGAGAATTTCTCACTAAACAGCTAGATTAATTTTAAAGAACGACCGTAAAATGGAAACTATACACTTACTTTATGTGAAATTTATGGTGGTTTATGCTAGTGACCGCAAGAAGTAGATGTAAAGCAACAACCAACCACACAGTTAATGACCAGAGTACTTCAAATCAGGTGCAAAAAGATATGACCGAACGGGCCCGCCCGGTGGATTCCAGCCTGGATTTTTCATGCTTACTGCACTGACGATTGTTCATAAAGATATAGAAAATCGGCGAAAATAACATTCAACGGTAATTATCAGTAAGATCCTGTCAGCAAAATTTTTGTAATGGAAAATTGGATATACCGCACATTTTTTTTTTCAGCAGTGTGAATTTACGAACGCTTCGTTTATTATCATTTCTTCATTGTTGTCATTTTTTGTACCATGCACAGCTATTGTAATATTATATGCTGTAATACTGTACCGGCTACATCGAAGGCAAAAAGGCAAATCAGGGAAATGTGGCAGTCAGCTCTCGGCTCCAAGCGACATATGCAGTGCCTTGATAGGTAACAATTTTATAAACTGATTAGCTGTCATTTCATTATAACTCATCTTCGAGCCACCGGATCTGCTGGCAGCCAGCCACGTTTTTTATGGCCGAAGCGCTTCCTAGGGTAATCAATACCGCTGTGGATTTTATCGTTCATTTTTCTAATTTGTTTTTCGCTCATCTGGAGAGAAGTACAGTGCCGTGTTTCCTTAAGCTAACTGCATTTCCTAGGCCTTAAGCCATTCTCAACACCACCGCCGTATTCAAAAAATTTGCTGAACGCAATAACATATGCATACGAAACGCAGCCACTAGAGAGACCGGAAAAGCAAACTGGCTGTGACAGAAAGAGCAATGGAACGAAGGATGTTTTTATGTAGCAATGCACTTCCACTTTGTCAGATGAGCGGCGCGATGTCATTGTGGTCACGCGGTAAAGTTCAGTAGGTGGAACATGTTGCCCTTCCTTTTCACTATTGGTGGACGTTCTGCACCAGTGCGTGGTATCTATAGCAGAACAAACATTCATTCAATCGGCCTCCGAAAAGACGGTGCACATGAGTGAAGAACCGATAGATATTTGGTAAATTTTAAGACAAAGCAAGCTCTGTGTTTACTCAGCCTCTATACCAACTTCAAAATTATTATCGCACCTAAAATTGGGGAGCTAAAATAATTGTTCAAGGAATGCTACTGACGTGGGGGGCTGAGCCAAAATCATTCGACACTTGTTTTTAGTAGTCAACACCCATTTTTGGCTCATTTTAATGGAGTAGCGTACGTCTTTGTCTCACATGGAAAAACCAGAACAATTATGGGCAGTGAATTGCAGAAAATGTGCGGTTGGCGAGGAAGTTTGGCACGCACATCAAGTCCGAGCAATTTTATGGCGACTGCAGCACCCAGGTATGCCTTTTTTTTCAAAGCTTTCTAAATAGTTTGGGATGCCTAAGAATTGTGTTGCGGCAATGAGCCATTAAAATGAACAAGTAAAAATCAAGCAGTGAGCGTGCTTTGCCACAGCTGAGGCCATGATTGATATATAAACAACCAGTCGTAAAAAAATTTTTATATGAAATAGTGCTGCCTCTGAATCAAAGAGAGATTTTTTTTAACGTTTTGTTTGCTGATTGGCTTGCAAATTGTTTTGTCAAATTTCAAAGAGGGATGTGTTTGAATTCAAGCTTCAAAAGAAGGGGAAAAGGATCTCCTAAATTTAGCACTCTCTGATGTAACGGCACACCTGTTTCTAATTTTGACGCTTTTCTTTGATCAGTTTTTGATTCTGAGTTTAACTTTGCTTAGTTCAGCTTTGTTATTTATTGCTGTCTAGCTTCTCCTTTCGTCCATTATTTTACTTCATCACAACAAATTTGGCACCTGCAGAGTACAAAAAAAAGACAATATTTCTGAAATACCTCACCGGTCACGTTAAATATTTTTAAATGTCAAATTTGACAGATTTCTTGAAAAGTTTTGGAAAGACTACACGCATTCGGCCTGATGCAAGATTTTTGCTGCGAAGCTAAGAATTCATCAATTTTGCAGGTTCAAATTAAGTGTTTATAGTAGGAAAACAATTTGTTGATGTTAGATAGAGCTGGTGCATCACGGCATTGATGTTTTTGCATCCATTATCTCTTTCCTTTCTCGAAATTTCATACACCACTGAGCAACGCAGTTTCAAATTCCACAACAAATTGCATTTTATTCCAATGGACCATTTCATTAAAATGTCCAAAGAGCCAAATTTGTCTCTTCTGCCCACAAAAGACAGCACGGATGTGGAGCGAGGCTCTCTTGCTGCTGATTACAAAACGTCATGCATTCTAATTTGTGACTCTGAGCGAAAACTTCAAGTCCCTATTAGTTACATAAGTAGACTTTCGCTTTTACTTAATTTTGACAAAACCTATGACACCAGTTTTCAGTTGCATTGTGATCACTGGTGTGTGCAAAAACTTATTTCAAAAAGGAATTTTTTGCACACTGAGAAATTTTGATAAATGAGCAGTTTTCTGGAATACGCTTTTTTATTTACTGATTAATAGTCCAGCATAAATAAAAATCACTAATTATGCTATCGGCAAGCACGACATAGTGGGACAAATGTCGTGCAGTAACTCACGGGGCTCGACTCTGCCTGTGGGACAACCATTCTCTCAAAGATTCGTTCACCCGCTTCAACGGCAGACTGGCACTGGCACATGCCAGAGAGACAATCTGCCATCCGCTTGTTTGTAAGTAATCTCTGAAAGAGAAAACCATCGACAGCCTTGCAAGCAGTTGGTTACTGCTCGTAAAGATGGGAGCCAACAAAAGCTGGAACGCACCAGGCGAGCCGGTGCGATCATGCGTTTTTGTATCAAAACTAAAGTAAAAGTATT